TGGAGTTAGCAGTCTCCTCTGACAGCAGGGACCTTGTCAGCAGTCCCCCTGGCCATCAGGCCTAGCCCAGTGCCTGGCACAAGGCAGGTGCTCGTTGTATGAATGACCTACGGTGCCTATGGGGTGGGCAGGGAGGACCTTCATTCTTCTTGGGTCACAGGCCTGCACGTGTTTTCATTTGGAGGGTGGACGGAACCCCAAGCGCCTGCCGAAGAGCCTCTGCTCCACTGGCCGTGAGCAGCCTGCTTACCTGGACCTGCCGGAGAGCTCTCTGGGCATGCTCCGGCTTCCTGTACTCCACAAATCCAAACCCCATGGAAAGCAGCGCACCTGGAAGACAGAGATGGAAATCAGCCAGCGGGTGAGTGGGTCTGAGTCGCAGAGGGGGAATCTGACCCTTGGCATCATTTCTCTCCTTTTTTCAAGCCCCTCTTCACCCAAAAAGATGGAAGCTCCCGGCTGGCCTTTTATGACTCATCATCATGAAGAATCGGCCACCGAGGTTACATAGCTGCCACCTGAGGCCCAGCTGACTGTTAATTAACAGATGATTGACGTGCTAATTAACTTCATAATAGATTCTGCCTTTCGGAGGGAGAGGGACCAGCAGGGATGACCATGGCTGTGACAAGTGGCAAAACCTCTACTAGGCGGTGCCCTGCTTTCCCACACAAGGCACAGCAGGAGGGCACGCATGGACGTCAACAAGCAAAGACCAGCTCTTTCTATTACTGGCCATCCACTAGGCAGTTCCTGACTTTCAGGCAGGAAGTTCAGAGAGGGAGGGCAACTGCATTATCTGAACAGATCTGGTTTCCTACTTCTAGGCAGTGAGTAGTGAGAGATAAAATAGCGAGGGACAGCTCAAAATTTTATGGGAAATATTTGGGTTCTGACTTCAGCTATGATGGTGTGTATGTGTGAGTGCGTGTATGTGTGTGTGTGTGTGTGTGCTCGTGTTACTAAAAATAACTGGTGGGGGAGGAGGACAGAAATCCTTTTACAAGAACTAAAAAACGTAAGATCCCTAAGGACATGTTAGGAGGCAGTGGTGGTGCAGGGGTAGAATTCTCCCCTTCCTGCGAGTGACCCGGGTTCAATTTCTGGCCACAGCACTTCATGAGCAGTCACCGTCTGCAGTGGAAGTTTGAGTGTTGCTGTGATTGCTGAGCAGGGCGGAGCCTCCAGACTAGGACAGCCTAGGAGGAAAGGCCTGGTGCTCCACTGCCACAAACCAGCCAATGAGAATCCCACGGATCCCAAGAGTTTGATCCTCGACTACCATGGGGACAGTGTGGGATGACCGTGAATCAGGGCCAACATCGTGGCAGCTGACAGTAACAATCACATCTTGCCTTTTTAAAACAAAATCTGCTGCATTCCCTTCTCCCCAGCATTCCATACAAACTTGTTACATTTATTCTGTGTTCTCTTCACAGTTGAACTTGAAGAAGAATAGCTTAAGTCTAATGGGTCCGAGTCAGGCTCCAGAACTTCCTCTACCTCTGGGACTCACTTAATGGCTCCTCTTTCCTCTACCGTATTGTTTGTGAGAGCTGTGCTTCCTACCACCACCTGCATGCTCGCGTTCCCACTCATAAACCAGTGATAGAAAACCAAAAAACCAAACCCACTGCCATCAAGTTGATTTCAACTCACAGGGACCCCATAGGACAGCAGAGAACTGCCTCCTCCTGCAGCCAGAACCATGTTTTGGCAATTATGGAATTTCTTCTGCACAGAATCCAATGTGCAATTTTCCATTAATGTGGCACAGTGGTTAAAGCATCAGGCTGTTAACTCAAAGGTTGGAGGTTCGGACCCACCAGCTGCTCTGCAGGAGAAGATGAGGCAGTCTGCTTCTGTGAAGATTTATAGCCTTGGAAACCCTATGAGGCAGCTGTACCCTGTCCTCTAGGATTGCAATGAGTTGAACTTGACCCAAGGGCAGTGGGTTAGAGCTCTCAGCCACCCAGCACTATGTATCCAGTAGGAGCTCAGGATGCAATGAAGGACTGACCCCTGGAGCATACCCACAAAGGGCTGGAATGGGGGCACAAGCTGTGAGAAAGCCTGGACTTAAGCCTTTTCCATCGTCATCAGGC